TTCCTTATGAAGGCAAAGCAGCTGGAGCTTCTCTTTCCTTCTGTGACAAGTCAGAATGTCTGACATGAAAAGTCTATGATAGAATACATTAGATTTTAAAATATTAATAACAAGCATCCATGATTTCAAAGTTGCAAACAAAGTAAAGTTTTAAAAGACGGCTGCTCCAACATGCTTTTAACTAAAGACGTCTTAACAGGGTTGATTTGTTGGAGTATTAAACTAAAAACAAAACAGCTCAGTCCTCTGCTCTACAGGTTTCTTACAGTTAATCACTTCCTGAGAGAAGTTTTTTTTTTTTTTTTTACTGCCCGTGGCCGTCGTTGCAGTTGGTTTTTTTTTTTTTTGACATTTGAGTTTGTTTGTGTTTGAACGTCTCAGGCTCTGTTAGTGTTAAAGTTCAGATTTTTTCTTTTTTTTTTTTCCTTCTGTTCTTGTTTTTGATTCTGTATTTTTAGTTTTATAGATGTAGTTCTCTTTTTTTTTGGTTTAGTCTGTTTTCATTATGATTTGAAGCCATGATGCCATGTTGTATATTTTTATTGTTTTTATTGCCCGCATTTACAAATGCTGAAGTTGGCTAGTTCTATTTTTTGTATTTTGTGTAGCTGCTGTTGCTGCTGGTCTCAATCTTATCATGTATGTTGGTTTTTTTTTGTATTGTTTGTTTGTTCTAAGTTTTGATTTTTGATTTTTGGTTACTTTTCCTTCTGTTCTTGTTTTTGATTCTGTATTTTTGATTTTGTAGATCTATATCAATAAACTTAAGTTGTCGTTGTCATTCCCATTTTTGTTTTTGGATTTCGGCAACCTTTTCTTTTTAAACTTTTTTTCCTTTTTTGTTTTTTTTTTCTTTTGCCTTGCGGTTCCTGTTGTTTCGGAAATTTTCCTTGTTTGCTTTTTCCTTTTTTTTTTTTTGTTAATATGTGCTTTAAAAATATAGGATTTTTGATGATGGCTTTAATTTTTTTTTGTTCATTTCAGTCTTCCTTACTGATTATTTGTTTGATTTGTTTCTTTTTTCTTTTTGTTTCTTAATTACTTGCTTGGTGATAACTGAGAGAGATTCAGGTTTTTTTTTGTCTTTGTTTGTTCGTTATTTTTTTTTGTTTTGTGTGTGAATGAGTGGGCAGTGTGTGTCACGCTTGCTTGTCATTCATTCTTTGTATGTAGCTTTCCTTTGATAGCTTTTTTTTTGTCTGTCTTTTGTTTCTGGCAAAACATTCTAGCAAATCAGAGACGGTTGCTTTTAAAATGTGATCATTTCAGATTGAATGACCCTTTAACAAAAATTATATATTTGTTGGCAATATTTTAAAAATTGTGTCTGATTTAAGAAGAGAAAAAAATCCTAAAAGCTCCTACATGTCTGAAACATTAGTGAACTTGTTCCTGCAGATTTGTGAGTATTTTTGACATAAAATGAAATACAGTGAGTGTGTTTGTAGTTTTTGAACAGAAACGCTGTGAGTTCTGCGACACAGGAATCATATTTTTCAGGCACAGGCGATACTTTTAATCCTTTTCATTTAAGAAAATGTGGATTATCGTCAAGAGATTTTGCTCAAAAGACAAACTGACTTCCTCGAGGCCTCAAACTTCCGTTAAAAGCTTTGCTGCTATTTTAAACAGATGATGCACAGTCTGCGGCATCCAAACACGTCCCATCATCTCTGCACAAGCGCAGAACTTAGCCACTGTGAACAAATTTCTAAGACTCCCTGTTCAGCAGTCGACTAAGCTCTGCGCCGGATCAGCCGACACGTAAACCTGCCGAGAAGAGTTTCCTCCTCTCAGGTGGATCCACAGCTCGAAGGACTCCCACCTTTAGCAGCGTGCGGTTCGTTTCCTCCCCCAGCAGCAGCAGCAGCAGCAGCAGCAGCAGCAGTGTAGTAATCCCTGGCAATGTGATTTTTCACTCTGTGTCCCAAATCATCATGCCAGAGACCCACACAGCCACAGCGAACACCTCGGTCCTCCGGGGAAATGAAGCCCGCCGCCGCTCAGCCTCTTTCCTCCTGCCACTCTCTCTCCCTCCCCCACCTCTCTCCCCACTCGTTCAGGCTCCCATGCTCGGTTTAACTTTGGGTATTTCCCTCATTAACTGTTGCGCCTCTATCAGGGACTCCAGAGAGGCCCGAGGAAGTCTGGAGTGGAATGACAGGGTGCTCCTCTGATTGGAACTAATGATAATCAGGCCCTCGCTGCGACGGCCGGGCAGGTGTGAGGCGGCTCCGAGAGTCCACAGAATGTGGAAAAGCTTTGGTTTTGCTGACTGAATGCTGGAGCACCAACAGACCTGAGTGTCATGTACAGTTACAGAGATGTGTAGAAACCTGCCACTGACCCGGAGGTCCAGACTTCACGTCACGGCTCCTGGTTGAAAAACGTAGACGGAAGCATCACAGGTGACGAGTTCTGCAACAGTAGAAGAAGAAATGATGAACTCAGTGGTCTGTATGAACAGTTCAGGAAACAAACCGGCAGCAAAATGAAAAAAATACAAACACGTCAGATTTAAATCTCACTAAAGGCTCAGATTTGACAAGATAAAGAAGGGATCAGTTACTCAACCAACCGTCCCATTTCATATTAAGTTCAAGTATTATTGCGTATGAAGTTGTTTCAAAGTCCTGAAGCTTTTATTAAAATAGTTATTTTATTTTTATTTTGTGCTTTTATCACTTTTGCAGTTGATTTTAGGCGTCACCAGTTGCTAACCCGTAGGGATTTCACAGTCATGGTTGAACAAAAGTCCTATAAATAGTGTTAGTTAAATAAAAACTTTATTAATCTGAAAGGAAAACCTTCTGCCAGATATTGTTCAAAAAAAGGAAACTAGAAACCACAGGAAAGTGGAATTGAAAAGCAATGTGATATAAATGACACATCACTAAAAATAAAAGTAATTAAGCTAAAATAGACTAAAAATAAAAAGTGACACACGTAATAAAGAAAAGCTGCATATAAAAGCTAAACACTGCACATGAAAGTTAAATATTATACATGATCATAATTAAGAAAAGTAGTATTTCAAATTACATTAATTACATTATTTAGATTTAACACCTGTTTCTACCTGATGCACATCCTCCTCTAAAACCTGAACATGTAAGTTTGCATGTAATGAGTCTATCGACGGTCAACCGTCACGGGGCTTCAGGAGACTTAAATTAAATTCGTGTTTTCTGCATCCAGATGTCCAAAATGATCCACAATAGTTGGTTTGAAGTAATTACAAGAGCTGTAATTGAAATATTTGAATTCTGGAGGTGCTTTGATTTCTTCGTGCTTTCCATCGATGGTGCCGAACACGGTTTTCAAAGTCTGCATTAGCCTGTGCTAACTAGTATTAGCATGTGACTGTGACTGTGCTAAGATGCTGTTGCTAAGCTGGAATAACGTTCATCATTATAAATGTGTGTGCTAGCAATTCGAAAATATGGTTTGGGCATGGTAAGGGGGTTAAAAACAACTTTATTCAAGTTTTGGAACCGCTGTGCTGATGGTTGAAAGAAACAACCATTGGTAGAAAATGGGAAATAAACAGTCGTCTCCATCCTTTGTTGACCCGTCCATCCACCCCAGCATCCTCCCTATTCAGTTTAAAGATTCTGCCGGGCAATATTATCATCTGAGGTCATGGTTGTGTTGATCCTAAAAGGTTAATAACTCTACTTTTATGGATTAGTCTCTACAAACTCAGAGGGAAAATGTTTGGCTCGTCTCTAACTTCCTGTTTTCTGGAAACAAAGCTGGCAAGAACATCAAAACCAAAAAGAAAACCACATCACTGAGCTGAGAGATTTTTAAAAAAAACTCTGTAAAAGTTTTTAGAAGACAACTTGAGGCGCTGATTCCTTATTGGCTGCTGACTGTGTGACCCACGTCATGCCTGTACATCATCCTTTGTGACCATAAAACCAGTGAGATAGTGATCTTTAGGGACGGCTCACCTCACAATGTACCAGGCTGTATATTTATATTACCTTACAGGTTTGCAAGCAAAGACATGATCCTGCAGGGATCTACAGGCTGTAATCAAACTATAGGACTGAGCCTGAGGGTGAAAACCAGACACCTAACACATATGATCATCTCTGTAGGTTAATGTTCAGCTTTTTATTGTGTTGTTTTAGTGTGCAGGTCTAAGGCGCAGCATAAATCCACGTTAGTGCGTGTTAACATGACGGAGATCTAATGCAAACATTGTAATATGTGCTAAAACCAGGAACTTGACAGACTCGGAGGCGAAGCGATTAAACACCATCTGATGCTAAAGGTTCTGCTCTTGGTGATAGGAAAAAAAATTAGGAAAATAGATTTCTTACTTGAGAAGATGATCCCAGTATTCCCAATCCCAGTAGGGAGACCCGACAGCTGAGTGGAACTATACGTAAAATAGGGATATTTAAAATGGTATCTGTTGAATTTATTTTATACGATAAGTCAAATACTTTCAGAAATAATTTTTTTTTTTAATTGCCCATCGACCCACTTTCAGCACTTTTTAGTTTTTTATAACATTAAAGCGATGTTTGAACGACAATATCTCAGGAATTATTAAAGATTAAAGGCTGAAATGTTCACTGTTGTTTCTACATGTCGCAATAATACAAAATTAAACAAGTAAAATCATTTTTATATGAAATATTTGGTCACAAAAATAAAAATAACCTTTTTTTCAGGCTTGGCTTTAGCTTGGTTTCTGCAGAAATTGTTGTAAAAATGTGATAATTTGAGATGGAATAACTTCTATACACTCAGATTAACCGTCAGTAGAGTTGATGCTGCTACAAGTGCAACAAGCCATTTGCATGTAAAGGCAGAAACACGATCCAGTTCATCAGAGGCACAATTTTCATCCGCCGAGGTCGCGCTTTATCGCTCGTTGCTCCGAGCAGCCCTCACGTGGCGCTAACCAAATCACAGGAACATCGGTTAGTTATTAAAACTAACCATAATTTCAATCTGAAATGCTCCCAGTATAATCTGTTGATCATAAATTTAGCTTCAGGAGCAGATTTAGTTTATGTGGGGCTGCAGGTGAACTCTGTCCTGCTTTATCCATCTTGGAAAGTACCGAAAAAAGTTCTCAAAACCACGAATACAGTCAGAGAAAAAGTCCAGAGACAGAGATTACCAATTTGTTCTTGTTTTTCTCTTTAAAAGCACCTAAAGAAACCAACGAGAGCACCGTTAAAGTGCCGCATCAATATCTGTAAAAGTAGCAGAACCTTTATTGTTACCCAGCCAACAGTAAATAAAGAATCTCTTGAGCCAGTCGGCGGTGATTTATGGCTCATAGCTGCACCTCACAGCTGCCTCCTAAACCCGTCACTCATCCCCGTTTCTCATGTCACATTAACGATTTTCAGGATAACCGCTCCGCCGTTGCTCAATCGCGCCGGAGTCTGCTGAAGCGAACACAGTGTGCTCAGGTTCATGCCAGACCATGACGGGACTCCGCTGAGGGGCTGGCAGCGCATGTGACTGCTGGAGCTGACTTAATGGGAATCACACTACAACAACACGCTCGATCCTGCTTGCCGGGGTTTCGGTTTTTACATGTTTGATCCGCGCAGGCATGACATACCGAGCGTGATCTTGGCATGTGACCCCCGCCAGCTGTTCAGCCAGCCTACCTTTGACCTGCAAACCCCTGGGACTCACATCACGCTCGACTTGCTGGGGCCTTTGTGGAAGGTGGGGACCTGAAAGATTGTATCGGGAGCTTTAAAGCAACTCGGTGGAGGAGGAGGTGGAAATTCCTGGATTTTCTGCAGCACAATTTCAGATGGAAGCAGCATTAGAGTTATAATAGGAAAATATAATGCAACATATAACCACAGAATCTATCTTATGCTTTTTGTAGTTTCTTTAATTCAAAGGTTTGTCAGTGATTGTAATTCAAATTTCTCATATCCGATTTCCCAAACAGCATTTAATTATCAGAGACCGTGTGCACAAGCCTTTAAAAACCAGCTGTTTCAGATGTTATCAGCCTGTTAAATGGGTGTAATCATCTGCTAACTGATTGGTCACATACATACATATGGGCCAGTAGGAGCCTTCTCAGCAGGCTGTTATCACCCCGGTTCATGGTGCTGTTACCACCTCATGGTGGAGCTGCAACTTTACAGAGAAGCAGAAGTCTATGATGTTAGAGGGGACAGTGGGGCTGTAAGTTAAAGGAGACTTGACCAGACCATCATTACGGTTGTATTATTTGACTTGAGTCCCATTTTGACCTTTGCTCACCGTGTTTAGTGGAAGTTTCAAACTTGCATTTACCATATTTCCAAGGTTTTGACTCCACTGGAGATTCTACTTGCACTTATTAACATGCTTGCAAGAGGTCTCCAACATAATCTGAGTTCATTTCTGTTTATCGGTCATTAGAATGGATAATAACTCACCGACTGCGTCCATCAGAGGAGGAAGGAAGTCCCTATCGGCCCAAATGTATGGAACTGATCCACAACGATAAAGGTCTTTTATTGGACTAATAATGTCAAAATAGGGTGTCCAGACTCAGAACCACTGGATCTTACTACGACCACCAAAACAAACGGACGTACCTCCCAACCCTTTACTTTCATTTATACACAGAAAGGGGTTTTTACACAAGAAATAATCCAGCAAAGACCACTAGCCTGATGCGAGCATTGTAAAATACATTATCTTGATTTCAGCTGTCTCTCCTCAGCTCTACTATATCTGTTCTGCTCCCGTTCACGTGGGGAAACAGAAACAAATGAACCGGAGTGGAGCAAAAAAACCTCAAAACAGCTATACAGACATTAAGCTTAATTTTTTTTTTAAAAAAAAGATGCTTTTTGGGGCATCAGCTAAATGCTAAACTACATTTTGCAGTACTGCAGATCCATTTTGGTGTCTTTATAAATATTGGGATACCAACAGTTTCAATAGGAGGGACTCACATGCACTAACATGTACATGCAAGTGGACTTTGACTTCATTCCCTGCTAAGGACATTGATTTATTTGTCTTATTGCTATTTTTAAATCCTTTCATAAAGCACTTTGTAATAATAATAAAAAGCATCATTATTATATTTTTAAGTTGCAGATTGTTGTTTGCTGATGTAAAAACTGAATATTTATGTTCAGAATCTCGTGTAATGCACCTTTACCATTCACATGTGCTTTTTTTTTTGCACATTTGAAAAGAACCAGCTGTTCCTACCTGCTTCCAGGCTTTATGTTAAGCTAAGCTACACCTGCTGGCTCCAGCTTTAACATGTGTTTTATTGTCTTTTTTTCATATAACTCGTGGAAAAAGAGCAAAAGAGTGTGTTTCTGAAAATGTCAAAATCACAAACAATGTGAAAAGAACAAGCTGTTATCTTTGTGCAGTTCCAGGAGAAATGAAATAACGTTTGCACACACCCTGTTGTCAC